GCCATCCGTGGCCCTGTTGGTAAACCCTGCATGAAGTGACTTCAGAGTTCTAATCCTGAGAGTCCAAATAAACACGTGTCTCATTTTTGGCAAGTGCAACCCAGCGAGCCTCCCTTTTTTTGCCGCGACGCCTCACTGCTCTAACTGAAAAAGTATTTGACTTCGGAAGAATCTCAGATATAACTAAACAAGCAGTAAAACATCATAATCCATTTCAACAGTACAACCATACTCAACATTTTATAAAACAGTCATAAATATACATGACTGAGTGTGTAGAGGGCTGTGAAAAGGTTGTCAGGCGCATAAATCAATTATTCTGGCGTGTAAAGAGAGCTAACTACCGTGCTTGGAGACACCACTAACTATGAAGTTAACATGCTAGCTGAAATATAGGGTACACATTGAATGAATTATTTTGCTTGCCACTGAGAAGGCAAAAAGTCTCTTTGGAAAGATCTGTTTTTTAAAAAGAACAAAAAATTGGCTAGGCAGTTTGAACTAGTACTTTCCCCTTTTGACAGCAGTATTCACATTTTCTTAATTTGGGGGCTTGGATCAAAGTAGTAGATTCAATAAATATTTGCTGCCACTACTGCTGTTTCCCTCATTTTTAAAAGAAAGGGCTGATCCTGCATTCTCTGTGTCACCCTTTTCTCCCCTCAGCTCATTCGGAGCCTGTGTCATCAACAGGCAGGGGGAGTGGTTGGCCAGTGAAAGGCTAGGAGAGGGGTCGCCCTTCCTGCAGGTGTCAAACCACTACCAGGCCACTAGCCGCAACTTCTTAACAGGAGATCTCAGAATGGACAGCCCACAGAGGCCCTGATGGCATCTGATTCTGGGCAATCCTCAGGGAACAGGGAGGCAGGAAGGACTGAGCTTCCTCTGTTCATTAGTCAAGACAAGTGGGGCCTCCCTGCCCCAAATTCACCTTAAAATGTGAGCCTCCCATCCAACAATTAGGGCACGGTTTGGACATTATTATAGTCATTATAATGGTGGCCTTCCCTAGCATGTTTAATATAAGTTAAAATTTTTTTTCAGAAACACACACTTGTGTCATAAAATATACTTAGTGTTACGCAGAAAACTTCACCCAGATTTACCAACTAAAAGTTGGGTTTGTGGATTTGACCTACTGTAACTTCTTAGGAAATACCATCAGAACTTCAAGTTGAAGGTACCTGGATTGTTCTATTGCTGTAAGCATGCGGGAGGTGAAAAGTTCCACTGAGAGTCATGGTCTTGGGGACAGGACTCTGCTCAGGGGCAGGACATGTGGCTCGAGTCTCAGCTGGCACTGACTTACGTCATCTGCTCAGTGCCTGTGACCTCCAGCGAACTACACCTCCCGGTTCTCATGGCCTGTGCAGACCCCTCGCAAATGGACTCCGGGTGTGGCCACATGACTGGCACTGGTCACTGAGACTTGAGCCAGCCTGACTGGAGGGGAGGCTGGGCGAGCCCGCACACCCTGGGCTTGTCCCTTGGAGCACCTCCTTCCATAGCCCTGAGCCACCAGATAGAGGGGCCTGACTACCCTGCTGGAGAGACCACGGGGACAGAGGCCTGGGCGGCCCCCAGCTGTGTCAGCTCCAAGCTGAGGCCCCAGAAATGTGAATGGAGCTTCTACGTTGCTCCAGCCTCAGCTGCCCCAGTGCCAGGCTGAGCCTCAGGTGATCCCGGCCAGCACCACGGGGGGCAGAACTGCCCCAGTCTTGCCCAGTGCCTAGCCGGCAAAAAACTTTTTGTTTTTTGTAAAAGAAAGCACTTCTTTCCACCCAATATGCCAACCAGCATATGGGTTCCTCATCAGATTACACTAAAGTGTGTAATCTCAGCAGAAACAGTGTCCTTTCATAAGGTTCCTTCAACATGAAAAAGAACCAGGAAATGACAAAATTCTCGGTGAGTAGCCACCTGACTGCGCCTTGTGCCCTTGGGATATAGCCCAGGTGCTTCCATGGAAACACCTGTTTCAGGTAGTATAACTATTTGCAATTTTAACATCATTTTCTTCTGTCTCTCCAGATGGTTTCCAAAATATTTCCTGCCTAAAGCTGTAGGTTTTTCCAAAACCTAAACCAATACAACTTTCTGGATCCACCATGTATAGCCGATGGTGCCCTCATGGTTATACCAGAAATTCGTGTGAAGCGAGAACTGGAGGGATGTGCGTCTGCTTTGGTCGGAAGACTGGTTCTCTTCAGTGTGCCTTTCGTTCATTCATCTTCATAAATATTCGTGCCTGTCTCCCAACTAGACTATAAGCCCCCAGAGGGCAGGGTCTGTCCAGCAGCGTGGAGTGCCTGGCACACAGGAGCACTCAGACAGATTTGTTAATGAGCTGTGGGACGTTCAAATAACCACCTCAGAGAACCACCACTGGTTATCATCTCGGATGAAACCCAGTGCGTCAGACGTTATGCTGTGCTGCATGGGAACCTTGCTGCTCAAGAGCTGAACTTTCTTGAGATTTAATGGTATTGTGCACCCACAGTATCTTTGAATCTCCTGGCTTAACTCTGGCTTTTTTCATACCGTGGGAGTGGGCACATCGTTCTACACCAGGAGCTGCCAGCTGTTCAACCCTCCTCCACCCACTCCCTTATCAGGAAGAGCCGGTTCTGGTTCTATGTGCTTCATAGGCGAGTAACCTCCTTACTGCACCTTGTGCCCTTGGGATACTTCCCGGCCGAGCATCTTTAGGGGTAGGTGTCAGCACTAGGATGAACCATGACTTCTCCATTGTTCACCTTGGACTCCAATTTTATTTTTTTAAATTAAATTTAGTTTTCTATCATTTTTTTGGAAGCACAGTTGATTTAAAATGTTTTGGGTGTACAGCAAGTGATTCATTCATTCTTTTTCAGATTCTTTTCCAGTCTGGTTATTACAAGATATTGAATATAGTTCCCTGTGCTATACAGTAGGTCCTTGTTGTTTATCTGTTTTTTATACAGTAGTGTGTATCTATTAATCCTAAATTCCTAATTTATCCCTCCACCTTCTTTTCTCTTTGGTAGC